CCCCAACCCACATAACGAAACTCCCCCGATTGGACAAATTCTTCCGCTCTGCTCCATTGGCTCGCTCCGTTTTGCTCCATCATCTTTCCCTCATATGGTATAGAAGTCATACCTAACATTCATAATAGCTCAAACTCTCACCCATCAACATATCGTCCACTTTGGCCTAATGGCCTCACGGTTTTGTCCTATTTGTGTAACTCCTGTGGAGGTCACTTATCTTGAAAGTGCTCCCACAATAGCATGCTCAACTTTGGAGTTTCTAGTAAAATTCCAATCTACACCAAAAAACACTTTGATATTTAAGAGTTCAGCTTCATTCTATTTAAGAGGTTTCACAATCTGCCTCACTTAATTGACGTCTTGGTCAATACTTTAAATCAGCCCAGAGTCATCTATCAGACAAATAGGATTCTATCATCTGTGTGGTTTAATGCTCTAATACTTTTGTAACAGTTTGAATTGTTATTCATCAAGATATTGTTTGCCTAGGCCTAGGAGCCTCATGATTTTACCCTTTTGGTGCAAGTCCTCAAGAGGTTTCTAATACTTTTGTAATAGTTTGAATTGTTATTCATCAAGATATTGTTTGCTTAGGCCTAAGAGCCTAATGATTTTACCCTTTTGGTGCAAGTCCTCAAGAGGTCACTCATCCTGAGAGTGCTCTTGCAAGAGCATGCTCAACATTTGAGTTTATGATGTAATTCGAACCGTTACACCAGAAAGCACCTTAATATTTAAGAGTCTCTCTGCGTGCTGTGACCCAGTGGTTGCTATCTTGAGTCAATTTTATGCATTTTTTCTTGCCTTTTTCTCGTTGTTTATCACTGTTTTATGTCTGTTAGAAGGCTGTTTTCGGAAGCTCGAACGAGTTTTGGAATGAGAAAAACGCAGGGCATAAGTGCCCAACTGGCATGATCATGACCAGTTTGAGCATGACTAGGCCGTGCCCAGGCGTAGCCACCTCAAGATTGGGCGTGATCATGCCGTTGTATCGAAACTTTCGGCATGACCATGCTAAATTCAGGCGTGACCTTGCCACCGGGGCTGCTTTCACATATGGAAAGGTTTATCTTGCTAAATCGGGACCAAGGCTATAAGAACTCATTTTAGGTCACGAATAGAGCATCTTGGGTGGCTGAAGGCTGGATTTGTAACGAAGTTCGGAGCTTTGAGCTTTCCTTTAGGGTTCTTCCTTGCTTGCCTTAAAAGTTGCGTTCTTCCTTCTTTCTCTTTGTTATTCTTATTTTCCTTGAGAGACTAGTGTATGAGAGAGATGATTTACTGTTGTGGAGAGGACAAGCCGTTCTTGTATGTTCTACTTTTGTGTTTTTCTTGCAACAATGGTTTTTTTGGAGTTGTTTTCATTGATTTTTTCTATAATGTGTGGTTAAGTCTCATTTGTGTCTCTATGATGTAGAGTTAGTGCATTAGTGTGTTTTTTCCTCTTACGTTTTTCCAAGCTTGCATGTTTCTGTGCTGTTGGTTAATTTTTTGGTTTTGATTTACTTTTAATCTTGTCAATTGGGATGTTAAAATAGTTTGTGATACATAGCTTGTTGCCCATCGTACAGTGAAACAAATATGTTAACCACAAAGTGCTGGTAGAATAGACATATCCTAGTTAGGGTTTTGCATTTTAGATAGAGATTAAAAAAATTTTGAGAAACGCTATGGGTTTAAGCAAAACATAACTTTATGGGTTTCTGATTCTTGACAATTATCACCTAGGGGAATATTTAGCAATTTCACGAATCATCATTACACCCACTTCACAGAGACATGAGCCTCATCTCTTTTGAAGAACACTAAGATTTTCTACTTTTTGCTTTTTGCTTTCTGAGATCATGTTTTTGTTTTATGTTTGATGCTTACAATTGTAGGATTTGATCATCATATTGTGATCACACTATGATAGGTTTATGGAACAAGCTAGAGCTTTTTCTATCAAAATAATTTTTAATTCTTTTCTCGTGAGATTGATATGCGGAGTTTAATACTGCATATTTCAATGTTTAAAAGGCTCCATGCATCATAGGTTGCTGACGAGAATCCTTCAGCCAGGTTGGGTTGAGTACCTCTTCTGACAATGTAGATTAAGGAAGACGACATAATCATGGTATCTTGATTGAATTTGTCATCATTTCTCCACCATCCATTTTAAACTCAAAGTGATAAATTTTACAATCTAAAACTCTAAGTCTGCTACTACTATATTTTGAATATTCAAAGTTTAATAGCTAGTCTTAATCGAAAGTACTCTTTTGTTACCAGAAGAGTTTAATTTATCATAAGGGTTTGCGCCTATGTGAAATCTTGAACCCCAAATAAAAAAAGTCCTCACAAAATGAGGGTGAAATCTCTGAGTAGTGTCCTTTCTACAATCCAAGCTTCCTTCTGAAAATTTGACCTAAAATATCAAATGCAAAAGTTATCTCAGCACAAAACGCAGAAATCAGTGCATCAAATTTTTGGAGTCCACATGCAACAATTTTTATCTCCACTTACTATATGAGTAAATTAAAGAAGAGGACTTTTTTATCTTTCTAAAGTTGTAGAATTTTTAGGCAGAAGTCCCGAAATGGAAGTCATGCCGCGAGAATGAAGACCTTTCAAAGATCTTCGATCTTTTCAGAAGAGTTAACATAGGAAAATGTGATGATTGTCTACAGAAATAATCATATAAAGGAAGAGAGATGAAAATCCAAATGATTTCGTATGTTCCCACGACAAGTGGTTTCAGATGGGGTTACCTTTGAACAACCACCAACATTAAGCTTAAAGAGATTAGAAATAGGTCTCTAATCCGTCCAACCAATTTATGAGTAGCCTGCCTAATGAACTTATTGGCATTAATACTGAAATAGAGAACAAAAAAAAATGATTTTGTGTGATGAACGATCAAGCTAATTGTCATCTAAAAGCAGCAGAGGCAAGCTATTGAGTTCCAAGTAATGTGAGGCCAGTTAAACCGGATTTATCCATATTTTGCATCATTACACTCCAACTGTGTGACCAAAGGTTGAAGGTAGGGTTCAAATTTGTTTGTAAGATCACTAGAAGATTACCAAGTTTTGAATAACATTTTATTGGACTTTGTATTTGGAAGGTGAATATTGAAAAAGCTATGTAATAGCTTTGCAATATCTGGGGTATGAATGAATCATTGAAAGAAAGATTCTCAATTTTGTAAGAAATGCACTAAGAAACATTGAAGAGGACTTTTATTTTCAAACTTTTGTTTGTAGACATAAAATCAAGAAAAAAGTTTACTACAGAAAAATGACAATCTCAGAAGCACGGTGCAAAAATGGCTGTCCACCAATAACTCTGGGTCTGTTTGGCGCAGCTGCAGTTGTGTTGCCTTAGGAAACTGCTGCGGGGAAGCTGACTTATTGTTTGCTGCAGCTGTTTGAAAATAGTTGTGGGTCAGCTGTTTTTGGAGAAATGACCATCGTTCCCCTGTGTAGTAATGTTGTTTGTAACTGAATATAAAATAATTTTTTTATTAAACAAATTATTGCTTATGAAATAAATTAATGTTAATTAATAATTAATTAGTTTTATTAATTAAGAAAATTTATATTTTTATCAAATAATTTAAAACTTAAAAATATGTTTTTAAATTAATTAATTAATCATTAAATAGTAATTTATAAATTTATTTAATTATGATTAATTTGAAAATATATGAATTAATCATTAATTATTAATCAATTAAATTAATAAAATTAATATTCAAATAAAAATAAATTAAAACCATCTCCCCATCATCTCCGTTCCTATCAGAAACTAAGCGGGGAAGGCAAAGACAAGATAGCGGCGGACAGAGACCATCGAAACTTCCATCTCTCTCATCCTCCAACCCGTTCCAGTCGTAAACCATTGAGGAAGGTAGCTTGTTTGCGCCATTCTTCCTCTTCGTCGAACAAAACTGGGACAACAGAGGCGTTCTGGCGATGCCTGGGTGCTCGAGCAGCTAGGCTTGTGAATCATGTGACACAAGGAGGAACATGAGTTTCGTTGGCTTCTCTACTGCGATCCACTCGTTACTTTTTCCGAACGCAAAAAATGGAAGGCAAGAGTATTATCGACGAATGGTCTCCACGAACGCGGGACGCGGGGTGTGATCCGCGGCCAACGTTCCTCCTGATTCACGTCCCGACGCGAGCGTAACGTTGCACCAAACAACAGAAAGTCGCGGCGCCTAGCCGCGACGCTCTCCTGCCGCGGTCCCAAACGGACCCTCTGTCTGCAAGTTTCCCAGGCAGATTTAAACGAGAATATATCATTGGAAGGTCTTCAAAATGTTGATGCTGCGAGATCTACATATACCAGTTGATGTGGTATATATATAAATCAAACTGGAGAACGATCGACGAAGTGAAAATAAAACGAGAAAAATCACACCAGAAAAAAAAAAAACAACACAGCGGAACACACAGATTTACGTGGTTCGGTAAATTGCCTACGTCTACGGAGTTGCAGAGGATTTTACTACTTGAGAAATTTACACCAGTCGATCACCTCGACTTACAAGAGGAATCTCTCACTCTTCGTTGCTCTCTCTCTTCTTCTCTCTCTGTTCTTCTCTCTCTATACTGAGATACACCAAAGAAAACTCTACACCTAGATACACCGAAGAAGACAAGCTTACAAGAGAAATAAACCTAATTTCTTTTCTGCCACAAGGCACCAAGAAGAAGTCTAGGGAGAACAATATTCTTCTTCTTCCTTCTTCTTCCTTCTGCCGCAACTCTTCCTCTGCGCCGAGGAAACCTTCCTCTATCCCGAGGAAACCGAAGAACTCAAAGCGTGACTTCTAATCCCAAGGAGTGCCATCCGAAGCTTTTATCACGAACAGGAGGAAGCGAAGAGACGCTTCACTTCACAAAACAGGAAGGCGGGAGTGGTTATTTGCGAAGAGGTGTGACTCTCCAAAGCAAAGTAACCGCCCAAGCATAGTGGACCGAGCTCCACCGTTTCTAACAAATAACTTAAGTCAAGCGCTTCTGAATATAAAGGAATTTTTAAAGTAAGTCTAAACTATTAGTTGAATAGCATACAACGAAGAAGTACTTCATCAATTATAATGAGAAATTTCATTTATTTTGTGCAATGGTCGGGCGCAAAGAGCATAAAGAGACTAAATTTGAGTTCCCAAACCAACCATCATGCCAAAAGAGTAAATTTTCATTAACAAATTCCTCACAAGTCTCTTTTTATCAATCATCCCAAAATTGCAATGTTTTTTTCTTAATCAGGGAGTCTTTTAATTTTGCATTCACAAACATGGATTGAATTCCTTGACAATATTTCAAGAGTCATAGGCTATAGGCTTTGTTTTGCTCGTAGTAACCACCTTGACTACAAAGAAAAAGTGTAAATAAGATCTTATGGACCTCTAAACCCAATCCTCCTTCAGTGGGATAACAAAGGCCTTGCCAACTCTGCTAGCGAATGTTTCTTTGAATGATGGACATTCTTGTAGGACTAATAATAATTTGCTGCAATATGTAACCAGGAAAGGTTCAAATCTATTTGTGATTCCGTGGTAGTTTTGACAGTTCATAGAAAGGACTGAAGCTTACAATCGGCATTTTATTTATTTATTATTATTATTTTTACCTTTCCTGACATTTTAGGTCTATTATTGCTTCCTTAACGTAAGGGATTGACCTTAAATTCTTATACTCACTGCTTGAATTAGTGATCATGCTTTCCAACCATTATTATCCTAAGGGTTTGCTTTCGAGTTATGGTTATCTATTCTTGATGCTATTTCTGGACAACTATTTGTGATATTCCTCTGATATTCCTCTGTATCAACTCATCACTGAATTTCTCAAATTTGTCCTGCAGATATTCAAAAATCCTATAGCACCAGTTGCATTTCTTTTGGTCCTTCTCTTCTCTTGTCAAATCACAGCCTTGACAAGGAATATTGGAAGCCAAGTGGTTTTGCAACATCTTTTTGCTACCAAGGTATCTGTTTTGGTCCATCACATGTTTTCCAAAGGTTTCATCGCTTTCGTAGCTTTCTACTGTACCAAAATGGGTGGTGCTGAAGGGATATACCAGTCACTTATTGTTTGTCAAATACTACTTGGCATGTTAGTTCCATCTGCTACTATTCCCCTTTTTCGAGTGGCGTCATCAAAATTTTTAATGGGTGCCTTCAAAATATCCTGGTATATTGAAATTTTGGCCCTTCTTGCATTTTTTGGGACGATTACAGCAAACATTATCTTCATTGTAGAAATCCTTTTTGGAAATAGCAGCTGGGCAATTAACTTGAGGGAAAGCAGTGGAATTGGTACAATTATCTTGTTTATCTTTCTTCTTGTTGGTTCTACATCCATTTGTTTCACAATTTACCTGGCAGTAACACCGTTGAAGTCTGCAAGCTCCATGCCAGATGGACTGACATCTAGCAGGATTTGTCAGAATGATCTGCCAGAGATTTTTGATGGTATGGAAGAATCTAATCTGGAATTGATAAACGATAATGAAGATATGGAATCGGTGGCAGAAGCCACTTTTGAGAAGTATGTTGGGAATCAATCCGATATGTCAACAATCGAGTACAACCCTGACGTGTCCCAGGCTACTATTGATTCTGATCATGATTCCCAGCTGTCAACTTTTGGCTTTAGTAGTATTGTTGATATTACCTCTCAGTCTTTTGGCTTTAGTAGTATTGTTGATATTACCTCTCCAACATATAATTCAGAAAGTTCAGCATATATGGCAGAAGAAAGATCATCAGATACTAGAAACAAAGATTCTATTGAACCCATACATGGTGAAGAGAACTTCCACCCGCAAACTGCTTTTGTGGAAACTGTTGCTGTGAGTTTGACACCAGAAATATCCTCATACACAGTAAAGGATAATGAGAATGGGGGTGCTCTGGAGCTTCAGGAGTTTATCCATGATTCAATTTCTCCATTAATCTCTGAAAGCCTTAAACCTGTTAATATTGCTAAGGAGGCAAGTAAAGATGGGGGAAATGGCAGTGGAAGCCTTTCAAAATTGTCAGGACTAGGGCGTGCAGGTCGGCGCCAATTTGCAACCATTTTGGATGAGTTTTGGGGTAAACTTTTTGATTTCCATGGGAAGCTCACACAAGATGCTAGCTCCAACAGACTAGACTTCCTTTTGGGATTAGATTTCAAAGCAGCCAATTCTTTTGGTAAAGCAGATACCACCATGGCTGATACGTCCAAATTTTTGTTTCCGGATGCTGAAAAAGGGCAAAACTTCTTACCGAAGTTGAGGGAGTACGGTTCTGCAAACCAATTGAAAGTTCAAGTTGCAGACATACCTTTTGGCTTTCGAATGGGAACTTCATCGCGTAACAATATTTTTGATTCTGCTGAAAAAACCTATTCTAGTTTACATCTGCCACACTGTTCAGATGATAGGAATTATCAACCAGCTACTATTCATGGCTATAAGATGGCCTCTAGTCTCGAAGGGAGAATCAATACAGGCAGAACTTCTTATTCCTCAAGCTCACAAATCCTTCCACCAACGACCAAGTTTTCTGCATCTTATGTGTCACCATTAAGGGATCAGATATTGTATGGTCATAAACAAAATAGGTTTGCTTCCATGGGAACCTCAAGCCTACAAAACCAAGTTTTGTCGAGATTGAACATGGTTCAGGTTGAAAGGCCCTATTTCGAATCCCACTTGGTGGGAACAAGTGAGCATGCTGTTTCCCCTGAATACACTAAAAAGTATCATAGTTCACCTGACATTTCTGCAATCATTGCAACAGCTAGGAACTCCTATTTGAATGAGAGTAAGCAGATCTCTCCTATTAGTCCGCAGACATCTTTTGGTAGAATGGTATCAGAACAATCACAATATTTGAACCCTTTGTCAAGAGCAGGTGTTCCAGTGCCCTTTGATGAGCTCTCTCCCGAGGTTCACAAAGAGTTCTTTCCATCACAGCCAAGTTTGAATCCAGGTGCCAAATCTCTTTTCTCTAGACAACCATTCGAGGAACTGTTTGGCATGGTTGGTAGAGACCCTAGTGGTGGAGATGCAGGGGCAGCAGGAAGCTCAAGTACCACCGTTGCAGAGCCTTTTCCTTATGCAGATTCAGAAGCCAAATTGCTTTATTCTTTGAGATTTTGCATTCTGAACCTACTGAAACTGGACGGATCAGATTGGCTCTTTAGTCAAGGTGGTGGGCTTGATGAGGAGCTGATTGATCAAATAGCTCTAGCAGAGAAATGCCTGCATATTGATTCAAGTGAGATGAGTCAGTCCTTTGCCGATGAATTTCAGTACTTGCCGTCTGATTTGAAGTTAAATTCGGTCAAGAGAAATGAAGAGTCTGATTTTCGTTGCCGTTTAACCTTACCAAAGTGTGGAGATGGTTGTGTTTGGCGAGCAGCACTTGTTGTAAGTTTTGGTGTTTGGTGCATTCAGCGTATTCTAGAACTATTACTAGTGGAGAGTCGACCTGAACTTTGGGGCAAGTATACTTACGTTCTCAATCGCCTTCAGGTAAAATAACAAATTATGTCTAAAACCTTCATGTTATGTAAACTTACCAAATTATAAGAATTATTAAGAAAAAGTTTAAAATAGTTTCCTAAATATTCGTATATAACCAATATAGTCTCATAGCGTCATATTTTTTGTATTAGTTCCTCAACTATACAATTTTTTTTTTTCACTTGACTATACAAAGTTGATCACAATTCAGAAAAGAGATTATTTGTGATGAACTTTCTAAACTTGACAAATTTAACTAGGATTAATTTTGTGTCTCAATTTCTCTCACTTTCTACTTGAATGATCTTGGGATACTTGTATAATTGATGGGCTAAACTGGAGGAGTATGATACTTTGAGATTAAATTGACCGCATATAAAAAATTGAGCTATTTTATGCTTTTTCTCAATCATTATTTATGAGCAGGTCGATATAGAAATCATTTAATCTTTATTGACTTCAATATACGTAAATGTTCTTCAAGCACTTCCAGGTAGAATATTTCGTGCTTAGAGAACCTTTTGAGTAAATTTACTTAAATATTCTTTCTTCACTTAAAACTTAGGTTTGACATTTGCCTTCCTTCTTTTTTTTTTAAAAATTTCTCATTTGTATCCCTACATTTGGGTCATTATTAAATTATTCTTGCTACTTTTGTGCAAAGAAATGAATTCTTCAATTATAAAGGCATTTTTCAAACAAAAATCAGATAATTTTCTTTTTAAAAAGATTAAATGAATACCATTGGTTCATTATAATTTGAAGAGAGCTTGTGAGATCAATAGCCTTTATGTTTAGTGGAATAGCTCGTCGAATCTACAATAAGGAAAATTGCACTACATCATACTTTTTTATATGCATGAATTGACAAGAAATAATTGCTCTGAAAAATTTTTCTATTCATTAATGACTTGGGCTTATATAGACCCTTACAACTTTCTTACAAATAAATTCTTAGACTTCTTCTATATTTTTTATCTACGAATAGGACCCTAAACTAGATACAAATATGAATAATCCCCCTTATGATGGGCAAAAGATATCCACTAAGCCCATCTTGTCGCATAACCTAGACAAATCTAATGAGCTCCTTTGGTGAGGCAGTTAGCCACTTTCCCTCTAGTGGCTATATAACATAGCTCCAGTAGTTTGTTATTCAACTTTCTTTGATGAAGAACCTATCAATCTCCACTTTGTTGGTTCTATCATGTTGCGCAGGGCTGTTGGCAATGATTTTGTTAACTTGTCACACAACTTTTGAGCTCCTTGGACCACCTTGAGCTCTATCAACAAGGCTCTTAACCACATTATCTTGGCAAGTCTTAAGGCTACGACCCTATACTTTGCCTTTGTTGTTGACCTCACTGCTACCAATAGTTTCTTGCTGTTCCAGGAGACCAAGTTGCCCACTACGAACATGCATTATCTTGATGCTGGCCTCATCATTAGCACAACTCGCCCATTCAGTCACAATAGCCTTCAATGCCTACATTTTCATTCTTCTTGAATATCCACCCCTTCCCTGATGGACTTTTCAGTTACCGTAGTACCTGATTCCCTTCGTCCATATAGACCTTCCTTAGATCATGAATGTGGTGGCTCACTGCAAATGAGATGTCGAGACGAGTGTGACTCAGATCAGACAACCCACCAATCTTTGGTACTTTTCACGAACAATTGGCTCTCCTACCTCCGCACTCAGCTTGACCCTCTGATCAGTTGCAGAGGCTGCAGGCTTGAATCCCATCATGTCTGTTTTTATAAGGAGATTCAGTACATACTTCCTCTAAGACATGACCCTCCCTTTTGGTCCACAAGCCACCTCAATCCCAAGTATCATAGCTCTCTAAAGTCATTCACCTCAAATTTATTGCTCAATATTACCTTTAGCTGAGCAATCTCTGTCTCATCATCACCAATGACAATTATGTCATCAACTCACACAAAAAACATATGGTGTAAACTCCATTTTTTCTAAAGAACATTGTGTGGTCGGTAAAACTATTTCAAGCCATAAAACGACTTATTGAGCCTGGACACCATGCTCAATATCTGATTTGTGTCGAATCCTGGTGGTATCTCCATATACACATCCTCTAGTAACTAACCATGAAGAAACGCATTGTTCATATCAATTTGGTGTAACCTCTACCCACCATTCACTGACAGAGAAACTAGTGTCTTCATTGTGCTCATCTTTGCTACTAGTATAATGTCTCGTCATAGTCAATTTATCTGACTGAACCCCTTCTCCACGAATTGTGCCTTATCAATTTCATATATCTGACTGAACCCCTTCTCCACGAATTGTGCCTTATAACACTCCACCTTCTCTTCTGAATTTTGTTTCATTGCGAAAATTCACTTGCACCAAACTGCTTTTTTACCTGCTAATAGTGGAACCTCCCATGTTCGATTTTTATCGAGAGCCCAAGCTTTTTGGGCATGGCTGCTTTCCACTTGAGATCCTCCTTTGTGCTTGCCAACATATGGATATAGAAACATTTTCTAAAGATGCAATCAATACTTCATCTAAACTGAGTAATGTCACGTGGAAAACTAAAACAATCAGGAGGATGTCCCGCGTTGTTGTGAGAGGTCCTCCTTAAAGTCATAGGAGTGCAAGAAGAGGAATCATATCACTTGTGTAATCCGAGTCTAAGGTGGATAGTGTAGGTGTCTCAAAAGTCAAGATAGACCGGGACAAGCAACATGCAAGCACGAGTGGCACTATAGACACTATTCCCTCATTCTGATTTCTTCTTCTTTTACGACTTCTTTTGAGCCTGAATCTCAACACACAAAGTTTCAATCTCCTCATTTTCAATATTCACATTTTTCGACTTCCCAACTGATTTGTCCCACATCACAAGACAAGACATCGCTCACACATGTACCAATCCGTTTCAACTTGATGGCTGCTAATTTTTTTACCATAAAGCGGCGTCCTTTTTCAACTTGTTGGCTGCTAATTTCGCCCGCTTATCCTCTGGCACATCCTTATATTTAAAGATTCGCTCAATAGGTTGCAAGTAGTTATTAAACTCATTTAGATCCATATCTCTATAAAACTCGGATAAATTCTTTTTGATATGGAAGCCACGCTGACCTCTATGTGTGGGCTCCTCTCTCGACCTCCTCTGATATTGAATTCCAAATCAACGTGGACATTATTCCTTGTCGTTGATGTCTTTTATGTGGAACAGATTTAGATCTCCGTCTCTATATCTCCCCTTCGACTCTCCAGATCATGGTCGAGGGACATCTCCCTTTGGGTTCCATCATCAATTTCTGCGAGCCTCTGTTAAAGCCTACAGATCTCCTTCTAAATCTCGTCCTGGGTAGGGTTTGAGCTTTGTATGGGTTGTTGAGGATAGAAAAGAAAAAAATTTTAGTGGAGTGGTAAGACCGATGCTTGGAAACCCTAAGATAGACTAGGGTTATGCTGGCTCTGATATGAAAAGATGCCGGAGAAACCTGAAAATGAGCAAATACGATTCATTTATTGAATTAAAAAAGGAGCAAAATCACGGGTTCATAAAGCTGGAAATAAAATGGCATGAATACAAATGGGACTTTAGGGCGAGGGTGAAACATATGAACTTTAGCTGGGGAATAGGTGTGGTGTGGTTTGAGAGGCGATG